GACAAGAGGAATATTCTTTCAGTAATTTCGATGACGATCAGAGCATCAAAACTTTAGGATTATTATGGAATCCAAAGATAGATTGTTTTTCGTACAAATCAACCGATCAAGAAACCAACTACTTACACAAAGAGAACAGTGTTGTCTGATATTGCTCGCATTTATGATCCATTAGGACTGCTTGGTCCAGGGATAACAAAAGCAAAAATCTTCATCCAAAGACTTTGGTTATTGAAGCTTGATTGGAACGATCCGCTACCCGAAAGGATAATTAAGGATTGGCAACTTTTTATTGATTCAATGCAATCTATCAACAATTTGAAAGTCAGTAGATATGTTTTACAGGATAGTTTTTCTGATATACAAATTCATGGATTTTCAGATGCATCAGAACACGCATACGGAGTAGCCATCTATTTACGCTGTAGAAGTGACAATAATTTATCTTCACATTTGCTTTGCAGCAAGTCCAGAGTAGCTCCACTAAAACCGCTGACAGTACCTCGACTGGAACTCTGCGCAGCTGTACTGCTAGCACAGCTTGTTGCAAAGGTGGTGCCTTTATTGAAATTGGACATCAGTAAAATATGTCTGTGGTGTGACTCAACCATAGTGTTAGCATGGCTTCAGAATCCTCCGCATGTACTAAAAACTTTTGTTGCTAATCGAGTGTTGCAGATCCAAGAGCTAACACATACATGCCAGTGGAATTATGTGCGTTCAGAGGAGAACCCAGCAGACCTTATTTCCCGAGGACTGAATTTTGACAAGCTGCATGATGCTGATCTGTGGTGGAAAGGTCCTCCATTCTTGAGTGAGGGTGTCATACCTAACAAGAACATTGACTTTGAACAATTAGAAAAAACAGAGACATTTTCTAATGAACTGAGAAAAAGAACTGACATTGCTTGTTTATGCACTTTGCCTTCAAAATTTATTGATAATGTCCTAGATATCACTAACAATTATTTAAAATTATTACGTATTGTTAGTTATATTTTCAGGTTCATTTGGAACTCTAGGTGTGCAAAACAGAAAGGAGCACAGAGAAGAACAGGAGGAGTAAGTTCAAAGGAGTTAAATGAGGCAGAATCCTTTTTAGTAAGAGAGGTTCAAAAATGTAGTTTTTATTCAGAATACAACTCCCTCGCACAAGGTAAACCCATTAATAATAAAAGTAATTTACTTTCTTTGAACCCCTTTTTGGATGCAAATAATGTAATGAGAGTAGGAGGCCGATTACAAGGGGCCAATGTAATGTTTTCACAAAAACATCAAATAATTTAAATAACTTGCTGATGCAATTATCATCAGAAATATTTACACGTAGGTTCGCAAGCATTATTGTGTATTTTTATGAGACAGAAATTTTGGCCATTACAAGGTAGGAATTTAACTAGAAAGATTACCCATGAATGTATAATTTGTAGTAAAAAACCAGTCACTATCGAACAAATTATGGGGTCATTACCTGCAGAGCGCGTAAATCCAAGCTCACCCTTTAATCATGTCGGCACCGATTTTTTTTGCGGTCCATTTTTTATTAGGTACAAGGGACAGAGGAAAGGAACTCTTCATAAGGTATATTTAGCTCTTTTCATTTGCCTTATAACAAAGGCAGTGCATCTCGAACTAGTGAGTGAATCTCACCACTGACGCATTTATTGCCACCTTAAAGAGATTTATTGCTAGGCGCGGAAAATGCTCAATCATTTTCTCAGACAACGCAAAAAACTTCGTTGGCGCAAATGCCGAATTGCAAAGAATTAACAATTTAATTAGAAATCCTGACAAAAAATTAGCAGATTATTTAGGTGAAGAAGGAATAGTATGGAAGTTTATTCCCCCACGGACACCTAATTTTGGTGGACTATGGGAATCTGGAATAAAATCCGTGAAATATCACTTAAAGCGGATTGTAGGTAATGCAAGGTTGACTTTCGAGGAGTTATTAACTGTAGTAACTCAGATAGAGTCTGTTTTAAATTCTCGCCCTATTACTCCCTTATCTTCCGATGTAAATGATTTAGAGGCATTAACACCAGGTCATTTTCTCATTGGAAGACCCTTGAATGCTATAGTAGAACCCGAATTAATTGATATACCTGAAAACAGACTCTCAAGATGGAAACGAACTACCAGATTTGTCCAGTTGATATGGAATCGTTGGCATAGGGACTATTTAAACACACTACAACAGCGTTCAAAATGGAAGGTAGAACAAACGAATATTAAAATAGGTATGCTAGTACTAGTTAAGGAGGATGAGCTTCCTGTCTGTAGATGGGTGTTAGGGCGCATTACAAGAATTTTTCCTGGAGTTGACGGTAAGGTTAGAGTAGTAGAAATACAGACAGCAAAGGGCATCATTAAGCGTGGAATTACAAAAATTGCAATTTTACCCCAAGAAGAAGCTTCCTAAGTTAGTTAAGTGTTAGCTTATTATTATAAAACTTGTATTGTAAATTGTGTACAAAATTTTTATTGAAAATTGAATATTATTATATTGAATTAAGAGATGTTATTCGTATTGCATTATTGTATAAGGTAGTAATTGTACAATTTTGTAGGTTATTATGAGTATTATCGCACGAAATTATTGAAGTAACCCTTCAATGCCGGGGGGTATGTTAAGTCATTAAGACTATTTAACTGTAAGATTACGTCATTTTTTCTCTTCTTGGCGCCTTGCATGGCGCAGATGTTCATTACAGCAACCCTGTAAACCCTTACTCAGTTTTATTTTTATTGCTGTAGTTGTTAGTAGTAAGTCATCGCTTGAAAGATGGCACGCATTTGATTAAAGTTGTTGAATAAAATATTTAGTACAGTCCACTTCTAGTTAATTTGAAATTGTTGTATAACAACGCACGCATCGCATGAACAAGGAAGGTTTTTCATCAAAACTGTATCTAAAATATCTCCGAGTCCGTTGCGCGTATAGTGCGTTGGGTGATTGGGACCAATGAGATTGATGTTAGTATTGTGGATGAAGTTGTTTAAATTTCTCCATTTCTATTTATGACTCTATAGTTCCAAGAGGAATGTTTAGCATTTAAATCACCTGCTATTAAGGTGTGGTAGTTATTTTCAGTAAGTAGTTTCAGATTATTGAGATCAAGAGTGCTTGAGGGGGAATTGTAGACGGAGATAAAGAGAAAAGGTTCTCTAAAATCACTATAAATAAATACTGCAGCATTTTCTATAGTATAAGCAGGGGTTTTAAATCATATTTGGCTGTTTTGATATGGTTTTTAATGAGAAATTGCGTTTCCTCCCCTCTATTATGTCTTCTGTCTTTTCTGTAGATGCGGTAGCCTTGTATTTTAAATTTGTCGCAAGAGCGGAGATGCGTTTCATTTACTAGCATAACATCAATGTTATGTCTAGTAAGAAAATTTGAAATTTCCACTTGTTGGTATCTGATGCCGTTTGCATTATAGTAACAAATCTTTAAGAAGCTATTTGTAGCTGAGATAAAATTTATTTGACTATGAGTTTGATTAAAATTCATAGTTTAGATTTGAGAAATATTCGAAGGCCGCCATACCGACCTCTAGTTTGTCAAATATTGTTTTTGCTGTTTTAAATTTCTGGAAGAATTCTTTAACTTGAGTGAATTGGATTTTTATCCAGTTAAAAAAGCCAAGTGGGTTTGAGTTTGTGTCTTCTGTTTTATTATTGTTTTCATTTTCCTTGGAAGTATTCCATGCATTTTTTGGTTTGTTCTCAGGGAGTGAAGGAAAATCTTTTTTTGTTAAATTTAAATTGTTCTTTTTTCTTTTCTTCTTTTAAAGCTTTAAATTCTTCGATTTGCTTCTGAACATTATAAGGATGTTTACTGCAACCTTTGAAGGAAGAAACGTGATTTTGCCCACAGAGGGCACAGACAGGGGGTTTGTTGTCATTTTTTTTGTTTGTTTACAAGTGAATGTTTCATGAGGCTCTGCACATTTTAAACAGCGAGGTTTATAGTGACATTTGTCCCGTGTGTGCCCGTACCTTTGGCACTTATGGCACTGCACGGGTCCAGGGCGAGCTTTAAAAGGCTCGATAAAGACATCCAGACCTCTGAGTTTCTTTAGATCATATATTCTTTTACCTTCTTTATTTCTAGTACATTCTGCTATAAAAACAGGAAGATGAACTTTCTTTCCTTCAATAGTGTGAATTACTTGTCGAATTTTTTGAATTGGGATACCTTCTTGGGCAATTTCGTTTTTGATTAGTTCCATATTAGCTGTTTTTGGAAGTTTTTTAATTATTGCCTTGATAGGCTTTTCACTGTTGAGTTTAAAAGTATGAAAAGGAATATGTAGTTTAGTTAGGTATTCAGTAACTGTGCGGTAGTGGTCTGAGTCATAAACTCTTATGGTCAGTGTACCTCCACTTAGGTTTCCACGATATTTTTTTATATTTAATTGCTCTTCAAAATCTTCTTTCATCTTATCCCAATCCCCCGTGAAGTCTGCTAAGACTATAGGGAAAATGTGTCCTGCTTTTTTGTTGGGTGTAATAAATTCACCTTCCTCTGCTTCCATATTGTCTTCAGGGTTTAGTTCCTCGAATTTATATTTTGAACTTGTTCTTCAATTTCGGAATTTGATAGAGTTCTCTTATGAGTTTTTTTAGGGGTTATGTTTCACTCTATGTTTTTGCACAAATAAACAGCCTAGGTAATAAAGTCATTCGAAATTTCATACATAAAATATTTCTTCACCATGAAGTTAATTTTATTTAAAAATCTGTTAGTGTTTTGGGGGAAGGGATGGGGCTTTAAGTTTCGCTAGCGTAAACGGAATAAATAATTATAATAATATAAAAAATTTTAAAAAGTTTAGAGTAGATGCAGTACGAATCCATTTTAATGCAAATTTTATATGATATTATTTACGTATATTATATAGTAGTAAACTTAAAAAAGATTTATTGAACACATCTCAAGTTGACCTTTGATATACAGATAATTTGTTCTTTCTTGTTTGGCATTGGTGAGACATTGTTTGTATGTATACCCGCAGGTAAAGATGCATGCTCGTGTTCAGAGGTTTCGATCGTAATACTTAGCTTTGAATCTTGCATTTAAGATCTTTTAGAAAAATTTCGATCTTAACTACGGAATGAACTGTCCAAGTGAGGAAGCCGACTCTGCGCGAGAAATTTTATATTTAAGTTTTAATCAGACATCAACGTAAGTAATGTTTATTTTGCATTTTTTGTCTGGACTTGTTTGTACCATAATGCGTGGATTATACAGTTTTCCTTTTAATAATATTAAATGTAGATATTATTTTTCAAGTTAAAGTTATTTTTTTACAAACTGTGATTTATTTTTGTACAATTTATACATTTCCGAAGTTCATGTTTTTGTGCAATGCGATAACAGCGTGAATGTTTTATTGTTTTCAGTGCACTTTCTGTGGGATCCAAAAATGGATATATGCTGTATGACTTGGATCAAGTTCACGAATGTCAGCCTACTTATGAAAGTAGTAAGTCTTTCTCAGAGTGTTCCTTACTTAGATATAAGTATCGTGAACCAGTGAGATATGCAACAAGAAGTAAGACAGGTAATATCTCGGGAAATCCTGAAAATGGATACAAATTTGTGTAAGTTCAAAGAGTGTAAAATAGCTAGTTTTATAAGAAGTAAAACAATCATCAGTGGATACTATAATTGATGATTGCTTAACTGAAAAAGTTAAGTTTAATGAAGTTACTGAATTTAGTAGTAAAAGAGTAACAACTTTGTTTCAACTCCATCCATTAAATTACAAAATTTTCAGATTAAAGATAATTATTATACATATAGCATATTAAAAAAAATAAATAGGCTTAAAATTGTTTTGAAAATTAATATGCAGTGTTAACAGTGAATTGAATTTTTGAAATATATATGCGGTTGATCTTTACATTATGGTAACTTGGCGTTTTTTTGGCGAAAATTTGGCGACCAACTCTCCTACAGCAACTCTCTCCTTTTTTTTCCGCCGCCATTTTGTCTTCACGAAGTAAAGACATGTTTCTTTTCTTTTTATCTACTGAACACTTCTTCCAACAATCTACTAGCCGAATTACACTTATGCTAGAAATTTTATCTAACAAAACTGCTTAATCATGACAAATATTCACTGCAAAATTGGGGGGAAAAAGTGCACAATACCATACTCCTTACGCGTTTTTCAAAATAACACATACACATAAACCATGTACACGCCGACTTATTTTTACTTAAAAAAACATCCCAGAATTGCACAAAAATGGCATTGCGCACACCCTTCACTATATCCATGTACACTGCTTTTTTCTCATAAATTAGAAATACATGACAATTTTCTCAATCTTTAAACCCGGTAAAAAGAACATATATGAAATTACCTGATCGCGAAAAAGTAATGAACATTTCCACATATAAAATAAATAAAATATCCAAAAACTTTTACCTCTAAATCATCTATTACATTATGCACGTCACCAACGAATTCATACCACAACCATTACAAATACTTATTGTCAGATATTTAAATTATTTCCATGCACGTTTACTTCAGCTAAAACGTATACCAAATTCCTACAAACATAAAAATTCACAAAATAAACTATCATTTAATTAAAATATAATTAAATTCAAAAAACACTACTTAAAATATAAATGAGCACATACATTAAATTAATACATACATAAAATACCCATTTCGAATTCACTTTAGTTACGGCCATGGGATCCAAAAATTTCACGAAACACTGTTTCACACAAACACAAATAAAGCCAAATACAAAATTTCCAGATTTTTTCCCGATTTCCCCCCTTTCCGATTAAAGAACCGTAATTCGTCCATTAATATCACATGACATATCCCATGATCTCTCATTTCCCTCACACAAAATAATGCGTAATCGGAACTGAGTACTGCTCACATTATTACCAAAGTACCAGGTAGTAACCTTTATCGCCTCCAAAATGTCGCCAAACTACCAGTTACCATATTGTAAAGATCAACCATATATGCTTTTAAGGAATATTCTACTTGTAAATTATCTGTCACTTCAATTAATGGTTAGACTAGCTTGAAGGGTGCCCCTTGTTTTATCGCAAAGTTGTTGTTTCATTTATGCTAACCTGAGTAGTTGAATGTTATGGAATCCCTATTACGATGTAATCGATTGTGTGTTGCCATAAATTTTGAATGATGGGAAAAAGATTTGTTTGAATTTCTGTACGATTTGGAATGAAGGGAGGAAAGTGCATTAAATGACTGGTGTGTAAATGAAGTTTTATTAAGTAGCCTTTATAAGTGTCCTGTTTGTAGGAAGGAAATGCGTATGGTTGAATGTCGGAGGATATTTTTTACTCTTATTTTTGTGAATTTATGTGTCAACACTAATATACGTATTCTAGTTGGGATAATTTTAGGAAGTTTTTGGATGCTGTTAAGGAATTTCGTGTCACTGTTTGAACAAATTTCTAAATAAGGTAAGCGGATATTTGCTTTGTGTTGTGCCTAGATACATAAGATAGATTTCCTTTTTTATATTATTTTATTGTTTGATTTAAAATGTTGTTTATCAAGATTATGTATTTTTTGTTTGACTCTACTGTAGAATTGGGTACTCCTTTGACGTTTTAAGTGAAAATAGATCGATGTGTTCATGGACATACAAGAGAGTGTGCAGTGCCAAGTTTGTGTAATTCTCTGATTTTTTTAAGTAAAAACAGGTTGATGTGTACATACAGAAAGTCAAGGGTGTGCAATTCTCGGATGTTTTTTCAAGTGAAAATAGGTCTATATTTACATGGATACTGAGTTTTTGTAACTCTTTGACTTGTTTGGTCTTTGTGTAGTAGCAATTTTTGGTGGAAAAATCCCTGCTACAAATAACAAGTCAAAGAACTGTGCAAACTCTGTATCCATGTGCCACCAAAAATCTCTAATTTTCCACCTGTAAATATATTTTTACCGCAGTATTAAAATGCAATCATTAAGAAGTAAAGATGTTTCTTAACATCACTAATATCTTAATTTCGGTTATAAAACAATTCAACTACACTGCCTTGATTACGCTGTTCATTACCATAGCAATGGACTTTAATCTGAAGGGGATATAGCTGATAAATATGTTATGTAAAGATAAAAGTTGAATTTCAGGTAAAAATATATTTCAGGGTGCCCCTTAATGAAAATTGGTGATTTTTGGCAATTGGCAAGCGAGGAACAATTTCAAGATGGCCCCTACACGAAACCAAAATATTAAGTCAAAGAATTGCACAAACTCAGTGTCCATGTACACATCGATCCATTTTCACTTAAAAAACATCAGAGAATTGCACACTCCCTTGACTTTGTTCTTGTACACATCGATCTATTTTCACTTAAAAAAAAATCAGGGGAATGATGATGTCATATAATGTTGAAAGAAAGTTACTCATCACAAAAATTGAACAAAATTTGTAGCCAATCAAAGCTCAATAAACTGCATTTTAAATCACCCAATGAAATAACATAAAAAAGGAAATGCATGTTTTCTCATATATGCACAACAAAAAGGAAATATCGACTTACCATATTTAGAAATTTCTGTGGCAGACAGAATTCCTTAACAGCATCCAAAATCTGGTAAAAATAGATTTACGGGTGCCCCTTGGAAATTTTTGGTGGTACATGGACATCCAGTTTGTGCAGTTCTTTTGACTGAAATGGTGACAAAAATCGCCGCTATACAAATCCACAATAACAAGAAAGAATTGCACAAACTGGATGTCCATGTACACATCGATCTATTTTCACATAAAAAAAAATCAGAGAATTGCACAAACTAGGCATTGTATACTCCTTTGATTTCATCCATGTACACATCCATCTATATTCACTTAAAAAGTCAAAGAAGCAGCCAACAAAAAATGTATAATCTCAATAAACTCCATTTTAAATCAAACAATGAAATATAAAAAAGGAAATTCGTCTTAGCACTACACACAGGAAATATCCACTCACCTTATTTACAAATTTCCTTGTCTTCAGACAAACAAAATTCCTTAACAGCATCCAAAAACTTCCTAAAATTATCTAAACTGGAATCTGTATACTGGCATCAGCATGTAAATTCACAAAAATAAGAGTAAAAAAATATCCTCCTTGTTGCAGGTAGTTTAGAGTAAATTGAAGGGTACCCCTTGGATTATTGCTAAGTTGTTTCATTCATGAGTAGTTGAATGCTTTGGAAACCCTATTATGATGTAATTGGTTGATTGCGGTAAATTTGAATTATGGGACAGATTTTGGTATATTGTTATTTTGTGGATTACACGGTAGAATGGCTGAATGTTGTAAGGTTATTGAAATTTCTGTATGATTTCGAATGAAAGGGAAAAAAGCATTAATTCACTGGTGTGTGAATGAACGTTTATTTATTTGCCATTATAAGTGTTCTGTTTGTAGGAAGGAAATGCGTATTTTCGAACGTTGGAGGATACGTGCATGGTAAAAATGTGTTTACGGGTGCCCCTTGTCTTTTTTCCCTTTCATCCAAAATCGTACTGAAACTTCAAATCAATCTTACAACATTCAAAACCACAAAATAACAGTGTACCAAAATCCATCCTATCATTCAAATCCAGGTAGTGGCTCTCGTCATATGTCTGGCTTCTCTTTCACAGGGCACAAAAAGTGTGGCAGTTGCATAATTGAAAAGTATTGAGTTATTAAACTGTGCATAAAATGTTTCATTTCTGCAGTTTCCACAATCCTTAAATATGTGTGCATTTGTGAAATGTTACATGTAAAGTGTAAATATTTGCCACAAGTTAAATGTCCTGAAATTCTTATAGTGCAATAGTTACAGATGGGGAGAAGGAGATTTTTTAAGTATCAGATAATCTACTTTATTTTAAATCTGCATTGTATTGAGATTTAAAATAACCAGTAATTATCTCTGAATTGACATATTTTGATCAATTTAATTGTATTTTACTTTCTTCTGTAATTTTTATGCAGATTCTCTTTATATATCAATTTTATTCTGTAATTTTTATACTGATTTCCTTTATATAATAGAATTATTGGTACTTTTCCGTTTTGCCGGCGCAAGCGATAAAGTCGCCAATAATGGTACAACCGATGCCAAACAGAATATTCTCGCTGGTAACCTTTTACGCTCATTTTCAAAACAAGTCGCAGCTTTCTCTGATTGTTTCTTTCAATACTGCATTAATTACTAGAATTTTTTATCAGATAGTTCAGTTTTATGTCTAAGGCCATTTCGGTAGTTAGTCATCAGGATGCAATCACGCGCTTACCCGAAGCCGAAAATCTAGAAAAGGTAAAGTCAGGTCATTAGAATTCACGAATTTAATGAAATGCATTAGCGAAGGAAAGCACTGCGGTTTTAAATTCTGAGTAAGTATTCGTACAATGAAATATTTCTTGCATTTAAACTTGTTTCCAATTAAGATTTAACTTGAAATTAATGTAGATAATTACTAAGAGCTAGATTTTTGTAGAGTAGTTTACTGAGATGAGATCGCTGGTTCACGTGATATGAACCCTCGAATCAGGATGTGAACCATGAAAGCATAGTAAATTCTTAAATTAATGCCTTTTTACAAATTTATTGTCTTTATTTATTCGCTTTTTATAAAATTTTAAGCGATATAAAATGTTTATGCCTTCAAAAAAAGAATTCTTAAAACTAACATTTTTTAAATATTTTTTATGTGTATACCATATGTTGTCACCAATAAAGTCTGCTTGGTGAGATTTGCGCCGGCGAAACGGAAAAGTACCGAATTATTTAATTAAATTAGTTTTAATATGTAATTTTTATACTGATTTCCTTTTACTGCATATATTCAAGCTTAAATATTTATTTTATATGTGCAAAATATTTTTAAGAAAATTTTGTGGTGTTTCGGTTTATATGCTACACTAAAAATAATTTAGCCACTCTTCTGTTATCAGGATTGTAATAAGAAATGTATGGATGTATATGTTCATCTATGCATGTTATATTTGTGTATACACTCATACATATGAACATACATACATACATGTATTTCGGGTACTTTTCCCGTTTTGCCGGCGCAGGCGATAAAAGTCGCCAGTAATGGTACAACTGATACCAAACGGAATATCCTTGCTGGTAACCTTTTACGCCTCATTTTCAAAACAAATCACAGCCATTTCTAGTCAGATTGATTGTTTCTTTCAATACTGGCATACAATTACGTAGGATTTTTACCAGATAATTCAATTTTATGTCCTAAGGCCATTCGTGGTAATGAAGTGAATTAGGATGCAATCACACCGCTCACCCAAAGGCGAAAATATAGAAAAGGCAAAGTCAAGGGTTAAATTCATTAATTCTAATGATAATGCACTAGCGAAGTAAACTAGCAGTTTTACATAATTTCTGAGTTTTCAAAACAAATCACAACCATTTCTAATCAGATTGATTGTTTCTTTCAATACTGGCATACAATTATGTAGGATTTTTACCAGATAATTCAATTTTATGCCCCAAGGCCATTCGTGGTAATGAAGTGAATTAGGATGCAATCGCACAATACAATTACGTAGGATTTTTACCAGGTAATTCAGTTTTATGCTCTAAGGCCATTCGTGGTAATGAAGTGAATTATTTCTAATCAGATTGTTTCTTTCAATACTGCCATACAATTATGTAGGATTTTTATCAGATAATTCAATTTTATGCCCTAAGGCCATTCGTGAAGTGAATTAGGATGCAATCACACCGCTCACCCGAAGGCGATAATATAGAAAAGGCAAAGTCAAGGGTTAAATTCATGAATTCTGATTAGAATGCACTAGCGGAGTAAACTAGCGGTTTTACATAATTTCTGAGTAAGCTATTCGTATGAATTGAAATAATTCTTGCATTTACACTTGTATTCTGAATTAAGATTTAACTTGAAATTAATGTAGATAATAACTGACAGAATTAGAGCTTTTTAGCATAGTTTACGTGAGATTAGATCACTTTGGGTCACGTGATATGAAACGACGAATCAGGATGATGAACCAGGAAATCATAGTTCATTCTTAAATAAATATCTTTTTACCAATTTATTGTCTTTATTTCTTGTCCTTTTACAAAATTTTAAACGATATTAAAATGGGTACTATTCCGTTTTGAGGACCGTCGAAAGTATATGCACAAAAGCGCCAAATCTAGCAAGCGTGCCCATTTAACAGAGCGCCAAATCTACCGTACGCGCTGATTTCAGATTGCGTAAGTTAATATAGTTCTGTATTTCTTAAGACGCCATTGAAATACTAGTTTAATTTTTAAATCCTTTTTTGATCCTATGGATTTAACAATTTGGGAATTGCCTATGACGAAAAGTCTGCAATAGAATTTTGGGTAAAGTGCAGTATCACCTACTGCTTGACGCATTTTTAAGAATTGCACATACTCGGTATCCATGTACACATCGACCTATTTTCATTTGAAAAAAATCGCAGAATTGCACAAAAATGACACTGCGCGCACCCTTGACTTTATCTATGTACACATCGACGGATTTTCACTCAAAAAGTAATAGAAAATGGACAAAAATCCAATTGTTTTTGCCCTTCTAAAAAGCGGCAAACAAATAAGTGGGCGATTCTGCACTTTAACGAGAATTTTTTCAAAGAAAAGGCATCATTCATTATAGAAAATTATGTTTGAACAACCAACGAGATGAAATTATGCTTTAGCGATAACTCGGTAGCGAAATAGCAATGCAGGCATCCATTCAGTCATGTTTAGCAATTATTTATATAAATTATAATAATGATCTGAAATAGTTATTTACTCTTATGCTTCCATTCAGTCATGTTTAGCCTTTTTTATATAAATTATAATAATAAAAAAACGTATTACATGAAATTAACTTTTCATCTGAATTAAAACATCAATCTTAAATAGTTATTTACTATTATATTTTCTTTCTTGTGTTAGGTTTGTCGCAATTATTTTTGGCAGCACTGACATCAACAATAGTTTGGCGTTTTTTACGGCCCTCAAAACCGAATAGTACCTTAAAATGTATATGCCTTCAAAATAGAAATTCCTTAGAACTAACATATGTTAAAATTTTTTCTATGTGTACTGTGTGTTGTCGCCAATAAAGTCTGCTTGGCGAGATTTGCGCCGGCGAAATGGAAAAGTACCTTCTTAATCTGGTCGTGGTAACAGAAGAGCACCATAATTTGGAGTGTGGGGTAAAAGTGTGCTCAAACTAATAATTCATGAAATGAGCCTAAAGTGTTCTTCATTCAACTACACAGTGACATTACTTGTGAGATAAAAATAGTGGAGTGTCATTCCTAGTCTCACCTTTTAATTGCTCTATGTAGGGATCAGTGAAGTTTATAACAAATACCTTAAATTCTAAAATCTGATAAAATAGAAATTCTCTAACAAAAATGTTAAATGTTCTTGAGTATTTCAGTTTTCAATTTGTAATTTTAGCTTTCAGGTATCTTACTACTGTTATATAAGTTACAAACTTAAAGTTCTGCCTTGTTATTTGCATAAATTCTTATTTAAAACCTATTCTCTCAATGTATAGTAACATTAATCATCGAAACAAGTAGTGTTGTATTTGGGAAGGAGACATATTTTTAATTACAAAACAGGTTAAATCAGTAAAATTTACACATTATAACATGTCTTAACTATTATATCATTTTTAATTACATGCAATCTTATTTCTTTTGCACATTTGTGATTCAAAAGACTGGTGGTGAGCTTTAGAAGGTTCCTTTGAGCTCATTGCTAAATTCATCTCTTACATTTAAGCCACTTGATTTTTTATTATAATTGTTATTATTTACCTGCTCATTTATTTCAAGAAACACTTGTCTTACTTCCATAATCATACTTTGACAATTCTCAGGAAAAGAAAGACTTATATACTTAGTCTTTCTTTTCCTGAGAATTGGGTAATAGCTGGTTTCATTTAGATGCATTTTAGATAATCTACAGGTGCAAGAAAATGCAGATCCATGTAAATAAGAAAACTGAGAATAGGTTTTGACTAAATTTTTCATTGAATTGCTGATGTTAGATTTTCATTTGTCAAACACATCACTGGTAATTTTGCTTGCAGTAAGAACAACAGTGTTCTTAACAGATTTGATGGATTTGGAATTTTCTGATATTGTTTTTACAACAAATTTCGGAAGTTTACAAGAACATATCCAACAGATAGCTTTCATTGTTAAAGCTTAATATAATTTGTATATTATATTTAAAGTTACAAATCATTAGAATGTTTTTCCCCTACTGTGAATATAATTCCATTTTCTGATGCGTCTTTCTGATTTAAAAATTTCTGAATATCAGTGATATTTTATTGCTATTTTTTTTATCTTGCTATTGTAAAAAATGCAGTCTTTGTAACTCTGTATATATATATATACAATGTCTAATGAGTCCTATTCATAATGCATTTCTCATTATTGGTATATTATTTAAAAGGCACATCTGAAGCATCAGCTTTTTTATTCAATTTATTAAAAAATTATATTTTTAACTTATGATTGTTTAATTCTATATGCCAAGAATGGTAAATAAAATTATGTTAACATTTATCATAATTCATATGTTTTATATCTTTTTTAGGAAATATTGAAGATGTCTGTATCATTGAGAGAAATTTTTCTACAAGTTTAGTTGCATATGTAAGCTTACATTCACCCAGGAATTTAGTTTTATATAATTATAATAAGGGAACAGAAATACTGGAAAAGCTGTTTCCGAATACAGTTCTTTCAGTTAAATTAAACAGAAAGGTAAGAAAAGATATTTATTTTCAGAATATTTTTTCTTTAATATAGTATTATACTGAAACTTGACAAGTTTATATGAATGATGTGTAATCATAAAGCAGCCTTTGAATGTGAAGAAATGTAGTCACTTTATGTAATATTCTTTTTTGTTTGTTGTTTAGGTTTTTCAGTTATTATTTGTGTTTATAATTCTTTTAAAAAAAAGTATACTGTGTATCAAAGGATTGTGACCATCTCTAATTTTAGTATATTGGTATCATCTAAACTTGACCTGCCTTGCCCCTTTCATCGTTGTTAGAAGATCATCCCACTTCTTTCCAAAATTCGAAAAATAGTATGTATACTTATTCTTGTGCATAAGCTATACTTTTTTTCTCAAGAAAGCAGATGGAAATCAGGGGTGTAATATACCTGCAAATGACATACATAACAAACATGAGGCACAGATGCCCATATTTAATGATTATGTGTAAAATCCATTAATGTTGGGTGAATATTACATAGAATTGCACTAGTTCTGATTGCAGGTCATTTAAAGGAAATCATGGGGCTATGATGCACATTTTAAATTGCAAGTTATTTAGTTCTCTGAGGAAAACTGGAACCAAACTGCAGCACATTATTTTGATATGGATTAATGCAACATACAGTGGTAGAAAAGCAGAATGAACTTCAAATAACAGTGACAAGGTAATGAATGTGTTTTGTGGAAAAGCAGCTAAGTATCTGCAGTCGGAAGATAGTGTTTTATCATATGGGAATGAAAAAAACTCTGGCTGTGACTGATGAACTATTGATATGATATGCTTCCAAGCTCGTGAAGAAGCTGATCAGGTAGTGCTTTCACACCTCCAAAGCATACTGTAAATGGTGGACAGCCTATCCACTGCTTATTTTTGAGTTGTTGTTTTTTTTTAATTAGGAGGGAAAAGCAAGGATGCAGCTTATAAATGTGCAAGTACAGTATATATTTATTTAGATTAAGGTTATTTTTAATGTGTTTCATAAATTAAACAAACATAAAAGAAGAATCCAAAAAATTGTTTCAACAAAATGGCTAAATAAGCAGACAGCCATATTATCAGTTGACTAAATACAGTCAAAAGTCGTTAAGCCGTGTTGAACATTTCTAATGGCATATAATGCAGATTTTCCTTGTGTTTCCCCCCCATACTGTAGTTCTTTTCTCTATTGCTGTTAATTTTATTTGAAATATATAGATATATTGGTTAGGTGGCCTTCCTGCATTTAAATTTTGAGGATATATACAGGATATGTACAGGACTCGTCGGGACATCGACGATTCCGGATTATAGATCATCAGTTTAAATCTCGTAAGGTGGCATGCAGAAATTATAAAATTAAAAATATGAAACCGTAATTTATGAAATAAAGAACAATTATGATCCAAAGGGTATCAAAATTTACAAAAAGAAAAAGCTTAATATTTATTTGTTTACTTTATTAAACATTTCTTTCAATGTAAGTTGTTTAAGTTGCTTCGTTTCATGTGATAATACTTTCTCTTTAATTCTATTAAACAGAAATAATTTCTTGTTTAGTTACAAAGTTCCGCTGTTCAAGTCCAATAATTGCTGAGTCGAAAATACAGACTAATTTGTCAATCGAAATTTTTTCGTTTTCAATAACCTCTCTGTCACTTTCTTCACTACCAGAAGCGAATTATAATGACGAGGAACTTGATTTAAATCATTATAAGCCAAATAAAATAAAAATATCTGCCCTGAAGATAAGGATAGTACTGACAGATCAACTTCCAATTCATTGCACGCCTCGTCGTTTCCCTCCCTCCACAGAGCAGCGTGAAATTGATAAACATGTTTCGAAATGATTAGATAATCAAAGGATATGCCTTTATCCATTTTTTGCAGCAATTCCACTTTCTGTTTAAAGGACTTCAAAATATACTTTCGGTTTGTAGATCCTTTACATATTAGTAAATATATATAGGAAATTCTATTTCACATAATCGAAAGTTCAAGCTTACTTTTATAAAATTGCTCTAACAGTCTGCAAAAAATAATAAGCCGGATCCAATTTGAAGATTAAGGAACGACGCAATCTGCAACATTAACTGAATTAGATCATTTTAGCTTAGCTTATACCGTCCGTTATACATTAAACGCGCTTGCGTAAAGGTATTATGCGCATGCGCACACGCATATTCGCAGCTGTAAAGGTCTTAGGTGCACGCGTAAATGCCTATTCGCATGCGATGCATGCGCAGAAAGTTCGTAGCTTTGAGGTCCGGATTATGGGTGTCCGAATTAACGACTTTTGACTGTATTTATAAATAATTATATGCACTATCCTCATATCTATACATGTACACCATACACAGTATCCGAAAAGTTCTTACTCTGTCTTTATTTTCAAAACCATTAGTTGTAAATATATACTTCCAGTAAAAAAGTTTTAAATAATGCAAATTTTCATGTTTGGGCATTTTCAAATTTAAAGAAATCAATTTTGTAAAAATTATGAAAAAAAATTGTGAGATTTGATGTCATTTTCAATTTGCATTGTAAGTGGTTGGTTAATAAATGAATTAGAATAATTCAGGGATGAATTTTTTCTGTAAAATACAATTCAATGATATTCTTTCTTGATTTAGTATTGTCTTTAGTTTGCATTTTTCTTACATTTGTATGCCAAAAAAATTTTAACAGAAGTAATTTATAAGTTTTCAAAGGCTAAAAGTATGTTGATCAATATTGTTCACAATAATGTTTATAGAAACTTAACCTCTTAGCATTGGAAACTTTTCTAAACTTTTTGTTTAATAATTTTAGGTTACGTACAAATGCAGACATTTCACTCACCAATTTGTATACAGCCTCCGAGTTTGATCTCTGATCTTAATGTCAAATATCTCAGTCAGGTTTGGCATGCAGGGTCTCACTATTTATGTTTTATTTATTTTTAATTGCGACTACAAAATCATTCTCAGATTATTCCCCCAGCTACTCCTGCCAGTCATTGGTGACTAATTTATTGCCAACCTCAGGCATAAAAAATAGTAACCATATAAAAAAATATGGTGTTACACTAAAAATTATATAAAGCAGCCAGAAAAAAAGCAAGAAACATCCATAATGAAATATCGAAAATTACTTAAAACAGGAAAAAATTAGCTAAATAAAAAAATGTAATAAAACTCGTACCTTTCTTCCTTCTCCACGCAGTTTTTTTACATGTATACATAGACTTGTTTTAGCTTTAAAAAGCTGTTATTACAGTTATAAGCAACTGTCTTAAAGATGACCATCGAATTTCGGTCACTAGTTGCCTTTGGCTGCATGATGAATATATTTTCGTAAAATTCTAGGTTGCCTGTGTTTGCTTTGCCAACATAGCACATTGCCTGGTGATTCTCTTCAAGGTTGAGAAGTTAATTAGACAGCACCCAAAATTTTCCTATGTATAAGAATTGGAGGAACCATAAAAAGTTGCATTTCTTAATTTTTATAAAATTGATTTCTTTAGATATAAAAATGCCAAAATGTGAGTGTTTGCATTGTTTGTAACAATATAATGACTGGAAGTGTATTTCTATGACCAACATGATTGTGAAAATAAATGCTGGATAAGGACTTTTGTGGACACTGTGTATACATATATTACTGAAAAAAGGTTATTGAAAACATATAGATAAGATTAATTGAAATTATATAGAAAATAAAAATATTTATATTAGTAATATAACAATACTTAACTTGAATGAACTATAATATAAATATGAAATAAGTTAAAAAATTAGTGTGCTTTTACGTTCTTTGCTATAATGATAAACCCAAACCAAAATTCTGTATATGTATGCTGCTTATACATAAACAAGTAATTTAGCTATGATATTTTGTTATATTTCTAAAATTATAAAAATTTTTGAAGTATTAATAAGTTGAAATTCATAGTAAAATAACAAACAGTAATAATAATGTGAGTTTGAAAAAATGCCAGATTTTCATTCAGTGCTTCTGCTATACTAGAACATGAAGCATATTTAGAAGTTTGCAATAGGCTCCAAAGCCAGTAAGTAGAACGATTTATCATAAGTCATAGTATGAAACATTTAGCTAATTTTTTTTAAATGATTTGGTTTTATAGATGTAAGGAAAACTTAGATTGTTTAAGTATGGAAAATTGTTTATATTACAGTCAAAAGTCGTTAATTCGGACATGTTATTTAATGTTATTTCTACAACACAAAATGTGCATATACATCCATTATACAGTCAAAAGTCGTTAATTCGGACACCCATAATCCGGAATGATCTATAATCCGAGCCTCAAAGCTAAAAACTTTCTGCGCATGCGCCGCGTTGACACATGCGCATAGGCGTTTACGCATGCGCGTAAGACCTTTACGACTGCGTATATGCGTGTGCGCAAACGCAGAATACGTTTTCGCGTGCGCGTTTAATGTATAACGGACAGTATAAGCTAAAATTATCTATTTCAGTTAATGTTGATGATTGCGTTGTACCTTAATCTTCGAATTGGATCCGACTTATTATTTTTTGCAGACTGTAAGAGCAATTTTATAAAAGTAAACTTGAACTTTCGATTATGTCAAATAGAATTTCCGATGTTGGAGCTCCCAAAGGATCTACAAAACGAAAGTATGTTTCGATGTCCATCAAACAAAAAGTGGAATTGCTGCAAAAAATTGAAAGACATGAAGAAGGTGACAGAGAGGTTAGAGAAAACTAAAAAATTTCGATTGACAGGTTAGTCGGTATTCTTGGCACAGCAATTACGGGACTTGAACAGCGGAACTTTGTAACTGAACAAGAAATTATGTCTGTTTATAGAATTAAAGAGAAAGTATTATCACATAAAATGAAGCAACTTAAACAACTTACATTGAAAGAAATGTTTAATAAAGTAAACAAATAAATATTAAGCTCTTTTTTTTTTTTTTTTTTGTAAATTTTGATACCCTTTAGATAATAATTGCTCTTTATTTCATAAATTACGGTTTCATATTTTTAATTTTAGAATTTCTGCATGCCATCTTACGAGATTTAAACTGATGATCTATAATCCGGAAAATCGATAATGGAATCGTCGAAGTCCCGACGAGTCCGGATTAACGACTTTTGACTGTATATCTTCATTATTCATACATATTTTAATTTCATGAAATGTTTGCTATTATATTTCTATTTTCTATTATTTCTTATGTTATTATGATTTTTTTTCTCTATGATCTAATGAGTAAATGTGATATTCTTGGAATTTACAGTTATATATTTGCTTTTAATCTTCAGATACATATATTTTCTTTAATAGAATGTTGTTGTTTGTCTGGAAGATAAGATATACATTTTGTATATTATGGGTTTAAAAGACGAAAAGCTTCATGCTATTACAAACACTCCTTCCAATGTAAAAGGACTCATTACGCTAACATATGGAAACGGCAACTCTCTTCTGGCTTATCCTGGTAGCTGTGTAAATGGCAATGTACAAATATTTGATGCTACTGAAAGGGTAATGTATTGTAATAATTCTTTCAGAAAATAATTTATGATGTTTTTGTTTACTAAACTTTTAGTAAGTAAAATCTTAACAATTTTTTATTGAAAGGAAGTATATTTAAGAAGTGTTATAAAAGTAATTATTTTGAAAAGGTGGCATAATATTATATCAAATGCTTTTTGTCATATGTTTTTTTAAAGGGCATATCAGGTTTTGAAAGTAGATAAAGTTTTATTTTAGCTAACACATTATTTTTAATTTAATTCTTTTCCTTGATTTTTATTTCTTTCATCCATAATATAGATTCATTGAATTTAAATAGTGAGTGAATTTAGAGAGAGCTGTGGCAAATTGCCAATAAACTGTTTGTTTCCCAGGTTATCCACGTGTATGCCAATCTGATTTTTGGTGAATGTTTTTGTATTTGTTTCCTAGCAAAACGAGAAACTATGTTGTCTTAAATTGGGTTAATATGTCATTGAAAATTATTTTCTATACTAGTTCCAGGGTTGCCACGCTACCTGGAAAACCGGGAAAAGTCAGGGAATTCAAAAATTGACCAAAATATTCAGGGAAAAGTCAGGGAATTTAAGTATTTTTGTCAAAATCTGGAAAAGTCAGGGAAGTTCATACATCCCGCCAAAAAAAGCGATTTTTGCGCCGACGTCGGAAGAGGTAACTTTTTTGGCGAATTATGTATCACGTGAGTGTCATTCGGGTAGCTGGCATAGAGCCAATTTTCGCAGCTCCAATTTGATTGTCTTTTAGAAAGGCAAAGCAACTTTCCCGCAACTTTTGGTTTCCAGTATTCTCGAGAATTGCATGTGCAGTGCATGAACTAAAGAAAGTACCTGTTCTCGTATAAAACAAAATGGGTTTAATCCTAGTATACGGTACCATGGAGGTTAGACTCAAAGAATATGTATTGTAAAGAAGGAAAACCTCTCTGCAACAGACGTGGCTGTGGCTCCGTTCCATCATAGAGGGAAAACAGCTGTGCATGTCTGATATATCTGTCGCCAAAGCTCGAAACTGGTGTCGAAGTTCGAAGGTCACGTTATCAAGAGTTCATAAAATGAATATCGTTTAAAATTTCTTTAACCACTTGCGCTAAAAAGACGTGCCACGCACGTCAAGATGCTTTTGTCTCAAACCGCGAGCGACGTGAACACCACGTCGATAAGCATTTATCGCAAAAATGAAAATAACGTGGTGCAAACGTCGCCTAACAACGAGATTTCTCGAGTTACAGCTCTGGATTGCACTCGCAGATGAGGAGCGGCGTAAATGAGACACTTTACGACGTGTTATATTGTAGCGCACGGCACCACAACTGTGAAGTTTAGTCTTAGCGCAAGTGGTTAAACTCTAAAGGAAAAGAAAATATTTTTTGGCGCAAGTAAATTAATTCATGGATTAGTTATTTTCAGGGGGGGGGGAACTACGAAAATCCGTTTTTAAAATTATTGCGAAAAATCCAAGAAGAAACGTCCTTTGATAAAACGTTTCTTCTTGGATTTTTCGCAATAATTTAAAAACGGATTTTCGTAGTTTTCTTTTTGTTAAAGAGCGTTTCTTCTTAACACGTGTTTCTCAATTTCCTATACACATCGCGGAGAGGGAAATTCTGGCCGCCAGGTTCCGTCGCCAAATCCCTTGGCAAATTTTCCCTCCGCATTCTAGCGGCGTAATAGCATTTTACTTTTCTTCTTTACATAGACGTTCTTTAGTTAGAATAATAATGGGATTTGGCGACATCTTGATGCGCAGTAAACGGGTCATTTTGGTCTTGGCGATAATTTTCAAAATCGTGCCAAGCCTTACCGTATACTAGAATTTTACCGCAAAATCTTTTAAATATTTTTTTTTTTTTTCCATAAATATCTTGCCATTTTGCAGTTAAATAAAAAAAATAGTAATCAGTCATCTAGGCTAGCCATGTAATATAACTATATTCGCTAAAATATCGTTGATTATTCTAATTCAATTTTTAAGTAATTATTTTTAAGTATGTTATTCATATAATTTAATGTTGCTTCTTCCCTCTAAATTTATTTATTATTAGTAAATAATATTTCCAAATTTCAGGAAATTTTCTCTGGCATAATCCTGAAATTAATTATAGCAGTATGATGACATACCATCACGAAATTTAATGCACATATTTTTTCCTTATGTATGCTGCGAAATAAATATAAAATACCTCAATTTATTAAAATAGATTTCTTTCTTTCGTTTAGCTGCAGAATGTCTGCAAAAAAAGCCTTATTTTATTCCAGATTGGGAAGATTCTAATCTCAATCTTCAGTGGAGAAAACAACAACTATTATAATTATATTTGTGTTTTCAAGTGTTAAGGTGCCTTTTAAGAACATACCTCACGCAAATTAAATTTACCTAAAATCTAACCTAACTATTTAGCATTGCGTTGTGATTTATAAGGACCGGATTAGCCTCATGTTGAACTGGTGATGATCATGAGTAATAATAATTAAATAAAACATACATTTCTTATCCAATATATATATCTTAAATTTTATTAAGTTTCTTAAGTGGAAAACTAAACAAAATTATCAAACAAAGTATACCAAGAATAATTAAGAATAAATGTCCTCTGGGACTTATTGAATAATTAAGTGAATTTGCTACACAATACAAGTAATACCATAATTAATTTACCTCTTAGCACAGCCAATGTACATTACGCGGATAGACTGGAATTTTCTTGAAACACACGTGGAAAAGTCAGGGAATTTCATTCTCCTGTTTGAGTGGCAACCCTGTTAGTTCTCATACTCTTTCTATACTTTTCATAAATAGTGGGCTAAAGCCAAAGCAAAATATATAAGTTCCATTTCATAAAACATTTTATTCTACCTCTGTTTATAAAAGATGGATGCAATTAAAAAATTCCACCTTGTACGTGCTTCGACACAGCATGCCAAACAGTAATGAAGTTTAATGAAAATAGTAACTTGCAGGGTATATGCGTGTTTAGGAAAATAGCATTTTCAGAGCTTTTAATTAAAATTGCGGCTGATTAAAGTTGTACGAAGATGAGAATGGTCAAAATGGCTTCCCACGAATTTTTGAAATCCGGCGGTACTTCTCTTAAAACTCAGCTCCTCACCATTCTGGAGCAGATGATGTTACAAACAGACAAATGTACACAGTTTTAATAGTTATAAAAGATTATACATATTTAATTATTTGTAGGTAGTAGTGCATGGCTAATTTTTATTAAATTTTAGTCATACTATAAGATGTAGCTTTTAATAAACCATTTCAATTCAATTTTACTTCTTGCATTTGTTCTTGTAATTTTAGACTTCTAGTTAAGTGCAGAGACGAGAATTCATTGAAAACACAAGAAAATTAAAAATGAGTTAAATTTAACTTCATGAAGTAGAACTCTTTTTCATCATTACATTCAGCATTCATATTAAATCCTTTTTTCATTATATTTTGTACTGCTATAATGTTTTCATGTTAATTTAAACAAAATTAGCATAGTCTTTTAATTTTTCTTCTAGCATGCTAAAACTACAATACCTGCTCACACAAGTCCATTAGCTGCTCTTGCATTTGATGAAGATGGTGAAAAGCTTGCCACAGCATCTATTAAGGTTTTTATTTGATTAAATTATTAGCTACTCAGTTACAAATGCATTAAAATAGGATATAACAAATTATTGATTGCAATAATATTTTTTTTTTTTTTTTTCATGTGAAAGTAGAATGTTAAAAAATTTATGTACAGTGATGTGATTGAAAGTAAAATGGTAAAAATTGATTGATTGAAAGTAGAATGGTAAAAAATTGTTTGACTTTGCAAATACTGGAGAACCTCACATCTATCCCAGTATTTGCAAAGTCTAAAAAATTGCATTCTTTTTTCTGTGGCCCAAACAGGTATTTACTGTATTACATATTTATTATAAAGCAAGTGAGATTTTTAAAATTTGTTCATATTTTATTTCAACAAACAGGGTTCATACACTTCTTAAGAGTACTTAAAAATCCTTAGGGTTTTTTTTTTTTTTTTTTTTTTTTGAATTGATTTTTGGTCTTTAATTTTGACCAAATTCGGCAGGAGGTCCTTAATTTTAATCATCTGAAATTTCTGTCTGTTTTTACGACTGGCATTTTGAATGTGAATTAGCATTTTGGACAAACATTTTTGGCGATTCATTGACAAATATCTTTTGAATAAGTAAATAGTTCTTTGTATCTTTTGAATAAGTAACTAGGTTCATGGATTATAATTTCTTCCTATTTATAATATATACAATGGGATACTCGGTTTCTGAGAAGTAAAATATAAGCATTTCAAAATTATTTCATTTTTTCTAATGAAGAGCTGTTAAAAAACTTTTTGCTTTTGTAAATGGCAATTCTTTATTAAACTGTTCCAAATTTGGCAACTTATCAACATGTTGGCAATTTTAAAATCAGTTTCTATAGAAAATTTTTTATTCAGAAATCGAGTAATTTTTCAACGATACTTTTTTTTAAACATTATAATTTCATTAAAATAATGCTAATATATTGAAACTGTATTCAAGAAATAACAATAAAATGACACGTTTAAAATTTTTGCTATTGTATTATAAATTGACATTACTCTTTTTTTTTTTTTTTTTTTTTTTTTTTTTTTTTTTTTTTTTTAACTTATACAATATTTTGAATCTGAAAAATAAATAAGGTAATAAATGCTTAAATTGTGCTTTAGCACAATTTATGAAACAATTATTAGCAAAAGCAAAATAGCTATGTAATTAATTAAAAATCCCTTCGTTTTCATTTTTTTCGTGTTAAGAGTTTTTTTTTATGTAATTGTCTCAATATGCATCAGTTTTCAGTGCAAAATTAATTTTACACTTTTTTCTTTTGATTTATTTTCAACATATTGCTGGCATTTTGCTCTTACAGAATTGGGAGCGGTAATTTTTCTTTAGGGTTTTAGATACTGCAACTTAGAAAGTTTAGAAGGATCTGAAGGCAAGATTTATAGACCCACAAATCTAGAAGATTCCAGAAAAATGTCATCATGGTATTAATACATAATGGATGTATTTTACAGAAAGTTTGTGATAAACTTTTACTTTTTGGAGAATTTATTGAAGAACAATGAAAACATAATATTTGAATGTTTTACTTCTGATACTAGAAGTCCTTTTCATAACATGTTTATCTTTCCTTTGTCTTCTCTACTTTTCACCAGACACAACCATGGAAAATATCAAAAATGATTCTAATCTTATCACATGGCCAGGCATTTATAGAAAGCAATTTTTGTATTAATAAAGAAATTGAAAACTGACAATTTAAAAGATTCATTTTATATGTCTTAATGCATCATCAGTGGCATAGCTAGGTTGGCGCAAGAGGCAACACCTGTCCCCAGGCACAGCATCCATGAAGTGCCAAATTGATGTTACAAAATTTTAGAATGAAACATTTTTCATTTTTGGCATACAGAAAGGGGCATAAAATCTTGAAAACCTTAACTACTGCTCTGTGCATCACACAAAGGGCTGCTCTGCACATTTTCCCACCTGATGCAATCTCTGTAAATCTTAAATTCTGCTGCTTAGTGCCTTCCTAAATTCTAAAATTTTGCCGTTTCTAGATTTTGTTGCTCTGTTTCATTAAATTCTAAAAATTCTGCTACACCAGCTCTGTAACTCAAGCCCTTATCGTATATCATTTCATATTTATTCTGAATTTTCATATTACTAAAGAAATAAAATTAACATTTTTCCTATAAATTCTAAATGCATTTAGTTTTTTAAAATAACAGAAATCTTTAATTGAATATAAGAATTATAAAATAAAGTGGGAACATATTGAAGAAAGAAACCAAATACATAAAGAGAAAAAATATTCTTCAAAGATAATATGTACAGTTATTATTATGTCAATTAAGCAATTGTTTATGATTTCAGCCTCTGCTATAATTTTCCCTTTCCATTTCCTCACCAGAATGAAAATCACTTAAAAATTTTTTAAACTGAGGTTTTGGGGTTGTAAGACAGAATTTGTTTCTGCCCTCTGCTTCCACGCCGCATTAATTCCTAGTAGCTCTGGTAATTTGTAATTATTCATCTTTGTGTTATCATTGCCAATATTTAAATTTGTTACACGATATCTATGTTACGATGTGCTACTGAACCAGCTTAGATTATAATTAAATTTTGTAGTCTTTGACTCCTAGTCTACATTTTTAGTTTGAATTTAACTGTTTCTGTTTAATTGGACCACCATAAGCAGTAGCTGATTTTGCTAGCATATAAATATGCCTTTATATTCTAAGGTCTTTTTAAATAAGAAATTTATCTAAGCATTTATCTGACTTTGTAGTTACTTTCAGACAAAGCGATAATTTGCTTCATGTCTGTCAAGGATTTTGGACTATTTAACTTTTATCAGATCGAGTAAAACTTCATAGGTACTTAGTCAAAAGATTGGCAAATTAGGAGATAAAACACACAGAAACTAGTGAGAATATTGGTTTGCATATTGAAACAAGCTTTTGATTTTTAGAAAAAAATGCTTAAAGAGAAAGAAATTGATGTAAATTAGCCAGAATGTCTGGAAAGTCTTCAAATTAAAAAGTTACTTAAATATTTGGTTGAGTATGATCGCTACAAAATGTAAATGTTTTGTAGCTTTTAATGTGTAGTTATCTGGATATCGTTTAAAAATCAATCTTATAAATTACATATATTTTAAACTGTGATGTGTTAATAGATTGTAATTTTATAGTGCTTTTTTAACAAATAATCTTAAAAAATAAATTTAATAGTGACCATGTAAATGATGAATTAGATTTTGAGAAATATTTTTGGATAATATTGAAAAGGCTAAGGCAAAGTGAATGAAAATAAAAAACAAGAGCCTTTAGATATAAAAATGAAAAAATACAAATAAGATTTCTACACGACCTTTGAAGAAATAGAGAGATATGATTGCACTAACAAGACACCTCTTTTAGAACTTCTAAAAATCTATCCTGAAAAGTTAAAAGAAGCAGCCCTAACAGTAAGAGCTCTTCCTCCTACTCAAGTTAGTGTGGAAAGACTCTTCTCAGCTCTCAAGTTTATCAAATCGGATCTATGGCCCTCCAACAAAAAAAATCTTGCCAAAGCTATACTGTTGCTTAGAAATAACTAATGCCAGTTTTTCCATTTCATAATAAATGCTAATTAATATAAATAATTTGCTATGCCATCAAGTTTTTTTCTGTAGCATCTATTACTTCTTTTACATTAAAAAAATAAGCTGTAACCCCTGTGTATATGTTTACATATATATATATATACACTTACTTAGCAACATATTCAAATTTTACACGATTTGGCTTATTTTTGAGGGATTTATTGCTATTTTTGTGATTTTTTCTTAATTTATGATAACCAGTGTATAATTCCATATCCATAAATGTGTATTTTCCAAATGTTTTAGACAATTTAAAATTTATATGTTATGCATGTTTATCTAAATTGATTTAATAATTTTTCTGCTTTGTTTTATCATTTTGTCTCTTAAATCAAACAAATTGGAAAGGTAAAGTATCAAGCATAATTTTACTTTGCTTTGGGGGGGGGCGAACAAGGAGCAGTAAATATCTGTATCTGAATAGCTGAAGTTCTGTTATAAATATAGAACTGAAGCATTTTAATAGATTTTTGTGCTTTTTAAATTTAGTGTCAGATGTATAAAATAATATTTGATTGTAACAAAGGTTTACTGCCAGAAAACTTTCTTAGTAAAGTTAAAAGAAAAAGGCATAAAAGCAGTACCTTTAGTGCAGGTAGTAATCATCACCAAAATCTATGATTTTCCGCCAAAGTATTTACAGTTTTCCAAATCCTGTGGCCCGGAAACTTGGTGGTTGTGACTCCAAAAACAGATCAACTTCATTTTAGATTTCCTGTGCAAAATGGAAGACAACACTAGCAAGATGTAGCTGCAGGTGCAAAAAAAAAGTAGAAGTCCAAAGGAGCAATGTCAGAGCTCTATGGTAGGTGTGGCAACCCCATTCGAGTCTGTACAGAGTCCAGCCAGTGAATGTAGACACGTGATCTTACGTTATCTTGAAGCAACATTACTTTTTTGTGCCAGAACAAATTCAACATTTTTCCTTGATAGCAGCATCAGCACGGAATAGCATCTCACTGTACACCTTTCTGTCAAGGATTTTGCCTTTTCCCAGACACTTCTCGTGGATAATGCCACTGAAATCCCACCAGATACAAAGTGTGATCTTTTTGTTAGTCAAATTGCACTTTGCGACATTGCCGAAGGGCTCACTAGGCGCAGCCTTTTTCAGTCTAAGCTGTTGAAGTAAATCCACGTTTTTGTCACAAATGATGATATACTACAGAATTTTATCCTTGCATTGATATTCAAGCAGATTTATGCAGGCTCAAACACATCTATCCTTATTTCCTTGAGTCAGCTTATCCGACCCCCAGCAGCTGAACTTGTATGTCAAGTTAATGCAATGAATAGCTCAATTAATGGCCTTGGCACCAACATCTAACTCCTTAACAGGCTCTGAAGTGATTGTATACTAATCTTCTTCCACAAGTTCTCACAGGTGGACCTCATCAACATCAGTTGGCCATAGCACTCTTCTTCTTGAATGTCATAGTCCTTGTTTTTGAACTTTCAGTACCAAACCTTCGCAGTGTAATGTGATACAACATTAGTACTTAAAGCTATACACATGATTTGGTAACATTCTGTAGCTGACTTTTTGCAACAGAAGCATGATAGTTCCTTTTCAGGCACCTCGTACTTAATAGTAAACGATATTTTTTTTACAAATTTCACAACATAGTACAGTACAAAGTCCGTAATCCGGACTTGTTGGGACTTCAACGATTCCAGATAAGGTGTTTTTCTGGATTATAGTTCATCAATTTAAATCTGGTAAGATGGCATGCAGAAATTATACAATTAAAAATATGAAACTGTAATTTATGAAATAAAGAGCAATTATGATCTAAAGGGTATCAAAATTTACAAAAAAAAAAAGCTTAATATTTATTTGTTTATTAAATATTTCTTTTAATGTAAGTTGTTTAAGTTGCTTCCTTTTTGTGCTAATACTTTCTCTTTAATTCTATAAACAGACATAATTTCTTGTTCAGTTACAAAGTTCCACTGTTGAAGTCCTGTAATTGCTGTGTCGAGAATACCGACTAACTTGTCAATCGAAATTTTTTCGTTTTCAATAACCTCTCTGTCACTTTCTATCGGAAGCACGCATGGGTAAATGCTTTACATGCATGCGTAGCGGACGTGCGTAAGTTTGTGGCTTTGAGGTCCTGATGATGTACGTTCGGATTACAGACTTTGTACCGTATTCTAAAGCAAGTTTCTTTCAAATGCCAAAAATCATTTGACAAAATATGATCAAACACGTCAACGCAAAATGTTTGCGCAGACAATATTTGTAGTGGTGGGAAACTTGCATTAAAAACCCGACATTATGTACATATATGTTATAAAACTGAGTTATAAGGAGTTTTTATTGTTACTCATTCTTTGTCTGCTTTGCAGGCGGCTAAAATAAAATACTTTTCTTCTTTCCTGGGAAAAATTTATGTATCAATGATTAAAATTTAGCTGTCTGCTAAATACTTTGTAGGGATGTTATGGAACATTTAGTTTGTAAAATCTTTATTGTCGGTTTGAACTTCATGAGTTTTAAAATTGTATATAGAATATTTGCGACCAATTGTGATTTTAATTGTTCTTTTAGTATTAGAGTTCTGTAAAAGTGTATTTTCTAATTATATAATATATTTTTTTTCTTTTCAGGGAACTGTAATTCGAGTTTTTTCTATTGTTCATAGTCAGATTTTATTTGAATTTCGTCGAGGAGTTAAGAGGTATGAAAATCATTTGTTTTGTGTTGTTTGTAAAGATACAGGAGAAATTTATATTTAAATGAAACTTCTTGTAAACTCATTTAATATACGAATATGGTAAATAAAAATTGGACCATGAATTGAAAGTAAGACTGAAACAAAGTGCACAAATACAAATGAAACATTTTTTTCTAAGATTAGACATACATGTAATGCCAGATTTATGTATAAACTACATTAGCTAGAGCTTAGGTTTCTTGCTTTCTTGGGGGTCTATGAAACAATTTTCGCATAACCCTTATAAAGGGCTTATATCTCAAATAGCTTAATGCCTTAACAGTTTAAATCTGGCTCTGTATATATAGCAGAGATGGCCAGACATGACTGTAGAAGCTGCATGTTGATGGCTTTGATACTATACTGTTAAGTTTGACATCCAGTAAAATCTGCTGGAATTTTTAAGTTCTTGCATGCTGCAGTTCCTTAAAAAATATTCAGAGTTCTCAAAACTAATGCTCAGACCATCCTGATAATTCTGGAGAGAGATAACCTACTATTAATAGCGCATTTTCTAGGAACTTGGCCATTGTATGTAAATGCTGCTTTACATAGATATTTCCACTTGGCTACCAACTGAATTAGTCAATCATTGCTGTTGAATTTTTGAATGCTTGTGGAAATTCGATCTGTTACTTAAATATGCTTGTCAAATTTTGTTGAAAAAATGAACTTCAAGATTCAAGAGTTTTGGTTTTTCGCTTCGTTTGTTAAATTTCTTTACATTTTTAATAATTCTAAATGTATTTTTAATTTTGCTTTTCGATAAAGATAGATTTGAAATGTTGCATTACTTTAAAACATTTTCTTCTTTTTCTTTTATTTTTATTCGAATGAATTTGAATTTTTTTTTTTTTTTTTTTTTTTAAGTGCAAATTAATAACTATATGCATTTTTGCCGTTGTTTACCAAGATTTAAGATGTGTCAGTACATGGCAGTGCCAGTGTATGTAGGCCATTTAAAAATAATGAAGGTTGCAAGTATTTCAAAGTGCATAACATAGTTGAAATGAAATTTATGCTTCTAAAATTGGCTTTGTCACTAGCTTCAAATGCCAAGGAGAACAATAAAAATGAAGTACAACTAAGATTCACAACTATATTCTTTCCAAAATTTCTTACAGAAGATATATTTCAGATAGATATTTATATCAAGCTTTTTAGTAATCATGGACGTTTCCTGATGTGTTGTGGAAGATTTAGTATAAAAGTATACATTTCTGTCTTTAAGTCATTTTCAGGACCATTAGACAAAGGAAATCTTTTTTCTGCTATTTAAATATATTGAGAGAAATCATATGATTTTAGTAATGAAAATAGCAAAAAAATTTAAAAAGGAATGAGTATTTAATATTTCACACATTATTCAAATATCCTTTTTTATGTGAAGAAAAATTTACTTAGTAAACTGTTTAACTGCTTTTTTTCTTTTTCTCTTTTCGCATCTTACATTTGAAATTCCAGGGGAGTAAGAGGGTTTTTTAGTTTGAGTAATTGTAAGTGTTCCTGCTCATGCATTGTTATATTTCTAATGTTGAAACCATTTGAAATGCAGCTATTAAAGTTGTATATTTCTTTTAAAATAGTAGTTATAAAATTATCAAACGTGTACGGCTAATAATTATCTCTCAATAAATGAATAAAAGTTTAATTTCCTGCTCAAACTATATTAATTCATAAACCATCAATTTAAATTTATATAAATTAATAAAATGCTTGTTATTAAATGTTTATTATTAATCTTGTAAATGGATGCAAGTTACTTGAAGGGATTTTAGTAATATGAAAAGAGAAGAGATACAATTTCCTGTAGTGCTTAATTTGATATAAATTTCTGTTGAGTAGCATTAACTTGCTGAATGAAAATGTTTTTTCTCTTTACTAGCATAACATTACATAAATATATGACATTTCTAATTTTCGTGCTGTCTGGCTGTGATACATAACTGGTAATTTTTAAGTTCTGTCAAACCACCATTTTATCAACTAAATTATTGGCCCTAAATATTTCTTTTCTTCCTGAAATGATAATAGATGTAAATGATACTATTTAATTTTATGTAAAAATCTAGGGAAGCATTACTAAATTTAAATAAGCATAATGCCAAGTACACTAGTTTCCCTTACATGAGTTCATACTACATAAAAATCATTGCACTTTCTTTTATATGATGAAAAATTTTGCTAATCATGTAAACATACAAAATTTTTATCTCTAAATTAAAACTTATCACATCTTAAAACCAATTATTTTAAGAAATATAAAGTACTCAAATCATTAAAAATACTGAGAAGATGTATAGAAAGCTATTGATGCTCGCAGTTGCAGCTCTTTCCTAAGAGGGCACACAATGGGGAAACCACACAAGGATCGCAAAGAGAGAAGTAATCACTTCATTTAAGTAAGTTATTGTTAATGCTGTAGCATTCGACTTGGCAGGAGGAAAAGAAATCCATTCCAATAGAAATTTGTATACACAAGCATTTAAGGTCTTTGAGATGAACAGATTTTGGCCTCAATCGATGTGAAAGAGTTAAGGAATTGCAAGTTCTCTGAAGCATTGGATCATGGGTATTGAGGTACACAAAAAAACTGAAAGAAAAAGTTGTCTGAATTAAAAGAAACTAGAGAGAAACAATTCTCATTTATTGCTTTAAAATTGTCTTTATATCTGTCTTTTGTGCTGACCCGATGGTTATTAATTGCTCTAAAAACACAACAGAATTTTGATAGTTATTTGCGGAAATAGAATTATTTGTTATCCTTTTGATTAGTATACAAAATAGACAATTTGAAATTGATTAAATTATGGCACATAATGCTATTCAAAAAGCCAAATTATTTACTTATAAAGGAGTATGATTTCCCTTTTGAAATGCAACTACATTTCAAAAATAAAACTTCTCTTTGTTGTGCAAGAGCCACATATAAGAAGCTGAAGAGTCATACATAACTGTGAGTCACAATTAAAGGCTCAAAGACTTGTATGTGTCTCACAAACCATAGTTTGGCCTTGCCTAATCTAATGACTATTGAAATGGTTTAGCTACAAGATAAGTTTAGCACAGATATATCCAATCACTGATTTTTGTTCCTGGCCAAATTTCAGTAATGTAACTAAATATATTTTAAGAATTTTTTTATTTTATTTTATTATTCTGTTATAGGTGTGTGGAAATACAGTCATTGTCATTCAACATTGGTTCAGAGTTTCTTTGTGCATCCAGCAATACAGAAACTGTACATATTTTTAAACTGAGTGCTGATGAAGAAACTGTTGAGTAAGTTTTTTGAGTTCCCCACCCCTCTATATAATGTTTTCAATTTCTTGAATTTTGAAAATAGTGATTTTGTTTAGAAATTAAAGCATACTTTCAAAAGTTTTTATTCGGTTTTAATAATTAATGATCAGCCAGTAAGTAATAACTAATTATCATCTTGCTGCAGAATATTTAACGTAGCATGATAAAATTGAAAATTTTATTTATTCATTGTCTTATCAAATTTTACATTTAATATATTTTGCAAGTATTGTAATTACAGTTGAACTTCAGTATCTCAAAATCCCTTGGTATGTCAGAAAAAAATAAATTATTCCTTGCATTTTTAGCATCTGATCAGGCAAATTCCCCGTTGCTGTTTCAAAGCATTTTCTCTGAAACCTTACTATCTCAAATTTCTAATTTCCGCAGCAGTTTGGTGTTTAACAGACTAAAATTATGGCAGATAAAAAATCATCATCAAATAAAGCTAAACCAAAATTACAAGCGAGTTAATAAAAATGTACAGTAAAAGAAGCTGAAAAAACAATCAACACATTTTTTGAATCCACAGAAAATATTCTTATTGAATTATTAACTCTTTACTGAAAGTTGAACAGGTACCAGATGTTATTAATATTTTGTTTAAGGTTTTTTATTATAATTAATTACATTTTTATTATCTATTTGATTAAACTTTGTTATAACATTGATGAAGTTTATATTTTTAATTTCAACATTAATACTTCACATTTTTATGAATGTTTATTTTGTGTCATTGTCTTTATTTGCATTGTTATCTTAAAATTTAACAAAATTTTACACCTATTATTTTGAATTTTTTTTCCCATTTGTTTTGAGATGTTAAATGCCATACAAATTGCCAAAGTATTTTCTAGAAAGTTCATGACTGGATCATACTGATCTGTAATCATTATTTAAATGTTAAAAAACTGTATTTTGTATAATGTGAAAAAAATTCTACATGTTCATTTTATGCTATTTTCATGAAGTTGAAAAGCCTGTATAAGTACCTTTATGTGTTACCAAAAGCACTCTGAATAGGATTTTTGCTTTTATGCAAATTGATGAAATTTGGTTCAATGTTTTTTGTATTACAGTGATCGCAGAGAAGAATGACTTTAATTATGAAAGAGATTCAGGCTTAGAAAAGTTTTCTTAAGTAAAATTATTACAAAAGTAGTAAGTGCTTAAGTTTCATAATAAGAGTTGTCTAATAAAAATAGTATGTGTAAGTCTTTTCAACTAGACTGTCATTAATTAGACTTTCATGTTAGAAAAGACAATGGCAAATCTGAACTTTCAACAGCAGTAAGCAAGTTTAGAAACTGTAGAGGGTGGTCAAATTACATGCATAAGAAAGGAGAAGTTCTGTCCCAGTTTTCATAGAGAATAGGCCTGGGTACAGATCTGAGGGTCTCTTACCCCTTTTCTACCATCAAGCCTTGTGAGAAGACTTCCAGTTCGGCAGCATTTAAGGTGTCCCCCTGTACTAACTATGCTCATACTAATATCCAAGCCTGCTCTGGGATTTGAACTTGGGGCCAACAATATGGCAGGAAATATCGCTAAACCATTTTTCTGATCAGGGCATTATCCCTAAACATTAAAAATATGCTCTGTATTTAGACCACAGTGGGCAGAATGTAAACTACAAATGCCATCCATTATAAGGAGGAATTATCCAATTTTATGCAAGCATTTTACTTTTACAATAAATAGGAAGTATCGCTAAACCATTTTTCTGATCAGGGCATTATGCCTAAACATTAAAAATATGCTCTGTATTTAGACCACTGTGGGCAGAATGTAAACTACAAATGCCATCAATTATAAGGAGGAATTATCCAATTTTATGCAAGCATTTTACTTTTACAATAAATATTAAACTACTGACTGCTAAATTTGGAATTTTTAAAAAATCAGACATTGATGATTGATATCCCACAAGAATGAAGATATCAGTGCATATCTATGTAATTTTTTTTTTTTTTTTTTTTTTGTTGTTGTTTATGCAAAATTATTTGTAGTTTCTGTTTTTACAAAAAGTGAACCATTTCGATTAGAATTTGATATTTTGTTTTCATAGGATAAGTTGTGAGCTCTTTGTTAAAATTTTTATAGTGCACTGTTGCTTGAAGGTTGTAGTAACGACAATGATCAATGAGCTGAGTTGAAGACTTAATAGTGAGAAATAAAGAGACTAAGACATAAGAAAGAGATGTGCCCTTAGCAACATTCTTGGTGAGGAGAGAGCTCAATCACCAGTGGGTATTGGACATTTCCAATGAATGTATTAACTTGAAAGTATCTGGCCATTTGGAACAGAAAATATTTCGATAAATAAAAGCTTCACTTCTCTGCTCAGAATTTTGTTGATTTAAAAGTGTAAGGAAATTAAAAAAAAATGAAACTAGGTACAGAGCATAAAATTTAATGTCTAATAAATATTGCAGTACAAAATCTGAAATCCCAGTCATTCACTTTATGAAATGATCCAATATTCAGACCTCTTGACCACCAAATTTTTTGTCAAGGGGGGGGGGGGAATTAATTAGATTTTTAGAGTATCATATGATTGCATGCAATCAATAAAATTCTGAGCAGAGAAGTGAATCTTTTATTTATCAAAATATTTTATGTTCCAAATGGTTATTGTTCCAAATGGCCAGATACTTTCAAGTGAATACATTCATTGGGAATGTCCAATACCCACTGGTGATTGAGCTCTCTCCTCACCAAGAATGTTGCTAAGGGCACATCTCTTTCTTATGTCTTAGTCTCTTTATTTCTCACTATTAAGTCTTCAACTCAGCTCATTGATCATTGTCGTTAATACAACCTTCAAGCAACAGTGCACTACAAAAATTTTATCAAAGAGCTCGCAACTTATCCTATGAAAACAAAATATCAAATTCTAATTGAAGTGGTTCACTTTTTGTAACAACAGAAATTACAAATAATTTTGCATAAACAATAAAAAAATTACATAGATATGCATTGATATCTTCATTCTTGTGGGATATCAATCATCAATGCCTGATTTTTTAAAAATTCCAAATTTAGCAGTCAGTAGTTTAATATTGTAAAAGTAAAATGCTTGCATAAAATTGGATAATTTTTCCTTATAATTGATGGCATTTGTAATTTACATTCTGCCCACTGTGGTCTAAATACAGAGCATGTTTTTAATATTTAGGCATAATGCCCAGATGTCTACTACACCTTAAATGCTGCCAAACTGGAAGTCTTCTCACGAGGTTTGATGGTAGGAAAGGGCTAAGAGACCCTCAGATCTGTACCCAGGCCTATTCTCTATGAAAACTGGGACAGAACTTCCCCTTTCTTATGCATGTAATTTGACCACCAGTTTCTAAACTTGCCTACTGCTGTTGAAAGTTTAGATTTGCCATTGTCTTTTCTAACATGAAAGTCTAATGACAGTCTGGTTGAAAAGACTTACACGTACAGTCAAAAGTCTTTAATCCGGACTCGTCAGAACATCGGCGATTCTAGATTATTGATTTTTTCGGATTATAGATCATCAGTTTAAATCTGGTAAAATGGCATGCAGAAATTATAAAATTAAAAATATGAAACCGTATTTTATAAAATAAAGAGCAATTATGATCTAAAAGGTATCAAAATTTACAAAAAATAGCTTAATATTTATTTGTTTACTTTATTAAACATTTCTTTCAACGCGCGCATGCGTAAAGCATACATTACGCATAATCGAAATTAGAAAATTGCAACCAGAAAACTATTTGATGTGTATTCGTGATATTTATAATGACGAGGAATTTGATTTAAATCATATCAAAGACGGAATACATCGAGATGAAATACTACATTTAGTAAAGAATTATTAGCTGAATAAAAAAAAAATATCTGCCCTGAAGATAAGGATAGTACTGACAGATCAACTTCCAGTTCATTGCGCACAGAGCAACGTGAAATTGATAAACAGATTTCGGAATGGTTAGAGAAACAAAGGATATTATGCCTTTATCCATTTTTGCAGCAATTCCACTTTTTGTTTGATGGGCATCGAAACATACTTTCGCTTTGTAGATCCTTTGGCAGCTCCAGCATCGGAAATTCTATTTGACATAATCGAATGTTTAAGCTTACTTTTATAAAATTGCTCAAACAGTTTGCAAAAAATAATAAGCCGGATTCAGTTCGAGGATTAAGGAACAACGCAATCTGCAACATTAACTGAAATAAATAATTAGATAATTTTAGCTTAGCATATACCGTCCGTTATACATTAGACGCGCATGCGTAAAAGTACTATTCGCATACGTGAACGCATTATGCATTGACGCATGCGCAGAAAGTTTGTAGCTTTGAGGTCCCGATTATGGGTGCTCGGATTAATGACTTTTGACTGTACTATTCTTATTAGAAAACTCTTATTATGCAACTTAAGCACTTACTATTTTTGTAATAATTTTACTTAAGAAAACTTTTTTAAGCCTGAATCTCTTTAATAATTAGTCATTCTTCTCTGCGATCACTGTAATACAAAAAACCTTGAACCTAAATTTCATCCATTTGTATAAAAGCAAAAATCTTATTAAGAATGCTTTTGGTAACATGTAAAGGTACTTTCTTATACAGGCTTTGCGACTGCATGAAAATAGCAGAGATGGAACATTTAGAATTTTTTTCACATTATGCAAAATACAGTTCTTTAACATTTAAATAACGATTACAGATCAGTATGATCCAGTCATGAACTTTCTAGAAAATACTTTGGCAATTTGTATGCCATTTAACATCTCAAAACATATGGGACGTGGGGACTAAACACCAGGGGTCCTGCAACAAGCTGATAAAACCCCCTTAGATGTAATATAAAATCTTAAAGCTTTCAGGTTTTTTTTTTTTTTTTTTTTTTTTTTTTTTTTTTTTTTTTTTTTTTTTTTTTTTTTCTGGTAAACTTTGCTTCCCATTTCTGATTTTTAAATTTATCATTTCTCCATTCCATCTTACTAGATTTAAACTGATTATCTAAAATCTAAAAAATTTCCTTATCCAGAATTACTGAAGTCCAGAGTCTGGATCTTGGACTTTGTATTGTAATATATTTTACTTCATATTGTAAATAGTTCAGTAACTAAATCATGCATTATAAAGTTAGTTTAAATCAATTTAGAGTTCTTTTGATACCGTATTGCTTCACAGTGTCATAGAAACTTCTGGATTTACACATTTCAAAATTTGCAGCTATTTGTATAGTACAAGTTCTAAATAGCTTTCTTATTCTTGGAAAATATTATAATTTTTGGCAATAGGAAGCAGGCTGTCATTGTTGTTAATCAGTCACTTTATAAACAAGTCACTTTATATTTACAGTTTTAATAAAATATTTTCTATCCTCAGCAATCTGTCATGGAATCCTAGATTCTTTCTGCAAGGTTCTGATTGGAAATCCTGATTTAAAAAATGCATAGAATTGTTTCATTCTGAATCCAGTAGATTTTGAATTTTCATAAATTTTTCTTACCCAGACTGTTGCCAAAAATTTAATCCCCCCCCCGAGGAGAGTACAGCCTTAGTAAACTTGCATACTAAGCATTTACATAATGTTTAAGATTTATGTAATGTATAAGACACATTTTTGCCCACGGAATATATAACAGTATAGAGATAAGAATTTTTCAATACATTACTGCATTTATTTAGGAATATAGATGAAGAAGGTTGGATGGAAATGTTTGGAAGAGTCCTAACACAGTCTGCAAAATATCTTCCAACACAGATGTCTGATGTTTTAACTCAACAGAGAGCCTTTGCAACCGTTCACCTTCCTTCTATTGGACAGAAAACTGTTAGTGCCATAACTAAGTACGTTATTTCTTGTTATAATTTAATCTTTTATTTAATCACTTGAATACATGAAATTATGATTGTATTCATTTATGAAAAGCAATAACTTAGTTGTAGAAAAATAACGTGCCAGTTTGAAGTTTAAATATGAATTATCCCCCCTCCTTATCTAAAAAGATAAATATTAAAAGAAGAATAAAAACTACTTTTTGTTCCTCTTTGCCTGTCTTTGAAATGCATAAAAATTTTATATAAAATCTATGTCATTCTGAGGCTGAATTTTTTTAATGATTTAAGTTTTTATTTCCTTTATGTCTTTTAATAGCTATAAAATTATAGATTCACGAAACTTTCAAGTTTCTTTACTTCCAATAATAAAGTTTGTTGTTACAATGTTTAAGGACACCAATGTTTAAGGAAAATTATAGATTCACTAAACTTTCAAGTTTCTTTACTTCCAATAATAAAGTTTGTTGTTACAATGTTTAAATTCTATCCCTAGCATTCAGAACCAAGTCATTCTAGCTACATTGTTAAACTACTTAATACTAGAAATTTGAGTCGGAGCTAATAGGCATCCTGCTTGGTTGATTTTTGTGGCTTTCTTCATGTGCAACATGAATACAAACCAGTTTCACTTAGAAAGTCCTCTACAAAGATCCTTAGGCAGATAGCTTTGGTATGCTTTACCATATTCCAACATCCATAACCTAAATCGTTCTAATTAACCGCTTGCCTGATTATCCCGAGTTAGCTCGGGTTCATATATATTGCAGTTAATTATTATTCTGAGAAAACTCGGGCGAAGCAGAATTTGTTAGTACGATTTCTTTTATCACGGTTTTACTCGGTCTGGAGGAAATGAAAGGAAATATTTAGCTTTGATTGGCAGTTTGCCAAATTTTTGTTGGTTGCACGGTTCTTTTGGAGGGACTGGTCGCGTGTTTCACTATTGTATAGTATACATTGGCTTGTGGATTAGTAATGTATAAAGAAGAATGCATGCATTGGAAAAAAATAAAATAATGGCGATGATGGAAGATAGCGAAAGCGATGATTTTTCAGATAGTGATTATGAAAAGGTGGTGGAAAAAATTTTAAAAATTTTTTAAAAATCAAATCCAACGAGACAGTGTACTCTGTGCTCCCGTGAAAGAGATTCCAGCGGTAAGCCAGTAAGAAAAGAGACCAGGTACCAGTGTAGAACATCAGGTATCACTCTGTGTTGTTCCTTGTTTCAAAACTATCATACAAAGATTAATATTTAACTTTTTTTTCGTTTGCCTGAGATAACTCGGGATAGTAAACTAATATTAAAAATAAATGCTTTTACACCTTCAAAAAATTAAAAATTCAACTTAAAACCTACATATTTTGATTTTCGTTTTGTTGTATTTAATAATAAAATAAAAAAATGTGATGATTTTTTGCAATTTTTTTCCAAAAAAATCATCACATTTTGCAAATTTTTTCAAAAAAAATTGTTAGGGAAGCGGTTAAGAGAAATTGTTCAACATAAAACATATGAGAATATAAACTTGATGTCTGAAGATGTGATAATTCTTCAGTTATTATTTCAGGCTGCTCTGCCTGCCCTCCTCCTAAGAAAAAAGCTTCTTTTAATGAATCAAATATTTATGGAATAATTTTCAAACTCTTGGTTGTTTCTTATGAATACTTATACATTATTATGTACAACGACTTGCACTATATAAAATGTCCAGTTGCGGTAAGATAGCTACTCCGCAAGGTGGCTGTAGGGTTGCCAGAAAACGGGCAAATGAAGGCCGGGTTGCCATATTTGGCACAAAATCGCCCATTCAGCGACAAATTTGGCAATATTCCGTGGATGGATGGAGTACATTCCAGAATGAATTCTTACTGGTTTGGCCCAGAATGTTCTCGAAGGCAGCCCAAAAGCTATATAAACCCTGCTGGTCCGTGGAGTAGAGTAGTGTCTCGTAATCTATTGGGTTCATCGGCAGTCTAGTGGATCAAGAGTGTGCATCATTGAGGCTATTGAGAGTATCGTCGAGTGTATAGCGAGTTGTAGTGTGGAGAGTCTTAAGAGTACATGGAGTTCCGAGAACAACCGAACCCAAGTCGGGAACTATACTGTAGTGCTTTGCCATGAAGCTGCCTTCACAATTATAGTCCGATAGCCTGAAAACTGTGTTGCTGATTGTTTCAGTGTGTTTGTCGTAGATTTTCCATGATTGTGAATGTGATTTTGGAACTGACCTGAGTAATACTGGCTGAATAAATTGTGTTTTGATTCTTCATCAAGTGTTGTCGTCAATCACTCCAAATCCATGAATCCGTAGAAACTAATCTAATTAAAAAATGTAAGCATTATATTTCATTAGAGTTATTTGTTGGTACGCAGAATTTTTTTTTTTTTTTTTTTTTTTTTTTTAATGTGTAAAAAATGCTGTAATCAACATTTTGTAATTTAGCATAAACTCTAATGTAATTTTTATAACATATAATTTCATTTTAGAATTCAGAATATTAACTATGTTATGATTGCTTCATTGGAAGGATTTCTTTACATCTACGAATTAAATACTGAAACTGGTGGTCCTTGTCATTTGGTGAAACAACATAGGTATAGTGATTATTTTTATTAATTTTTACCGATGGATGCATTAAAATAACTTAATTTGTGCATGAGAAAAATTAAAATTTCAACTACAGATATTTTCTAATACTTTCATTAAAAATCTCTGTCAGTCATATATATAAGAATTTCAGATTTGTAATGTAGGCAACAACATACGTATATTAAATATTTTGTATAAAATAATGTACAGTGGTTGGACAAAAATATGAAAACACCTTTAAAAAAACATGTTTCTTTGCTTAATATGGTGTAGGAAACCCATTGGCATCCAAAACAGCTTGCAGTCTTCTCGGAATGGATAAATACAGTTCCGGTATGTTTGCCAAGGGAATACTATTCCTGCAAAACAGTGGCAAATTCAGATAATGATGTTGGCGGTGGATAACGAGAACGCACTTTCCGTTCCAATGTAGACCACAAAGGTTCGATAATATTCAGGTCTGATGACTGTGATGGCCAGGGAAGATGGGACAACTCATTCTCGTCCTCAGAAAATCAGTCCTGGACAATGTGAGCTGTGTGAACAGGGGCTTTGTCATCTTGGAAGACACCATCACCATCGGGGAACAAAGTTTGTACCATGGGATGAACTTGATCGGCCAAAATGTTCACATAAGTCTTGGCAGTCATGTGCCCTGACACAGTTATCATGGGGCTAGCAGAAAACCATGATATGGCTGCCCAAACCATAACAGAACCTCCACCGTGTTTCACTCTTGGCAACAAGCAGTCTGTATTATAGGCTTGAGATGGCGTTCTCCAAACGTAAACTCGGACAGAAGTGGGAAACAATGTGAAAGAAGACTCGTCAGACCATATTACTCGCTTCCACTGCTCTACAGTCCAGGCTTTATGACTTAAACACCACCTTTTCTTGTTACGGGCATTACCATCACTGATGAGTGGCTTCTCAATTGCAGCACGGCCAGTTTATGTCAATTCCCTGTTTATGAAGCTCCCTTCTAATTGTTTTGGTACTCACAGGGTTCGGTAACACAACATTCATTTCAGCAGTAACTTTTGCAGCTGTGGTCTTATTTTTCGTCACAATTGCCCTTAATGATCGTCTGTCACGATCACTCAGGACACACTTTCGTCCGCACTGTGATTTAGCAGATAATGTTTTTCCACTTTTCAAATATGCGGAATAAATCTTCGATACAGTACCTCTTGAAACACTAAACACCTCGGCTACCTTGCTTACGGAAGCACCTACCATACGTGCTCCAACAATTTGCCCACGTTCGAAGTCTGTTAACTCTGACATAATGCAATGACAACCTCATAACAGTACTCCAACAACAACTGAACTGTTTAGCACATTTACGAAGTTGTATAGGTGGCGTCAGTAATCAAAAACGCCAGTGCCACCTACATATTTCATTAAAATCAATCTTTCTTTTCAAACATGCATTTCACAAGGTGTTTCCATATTTTTGTCCATCCACTGTATATTCAATGTAAATTTTAATATGTAAATTATGAAACATGAACTGAACTTGCATAAATAGTTGGCAGCAGTATTTCTACTGCATTAGAAACTGTTGTATCAGTATTTTGTTTTGTAATATCTCAAAAAGAGAAGAGAAAATATTAATAAGTTATTGCTCGAAATCCTGTCATGTATCTGCTTTAAAATCTTCAGGAATCTGTGTACTTAAGCAATGTACTGAGTACCTTGTAATACTGAATTTTGTCAATCATAATGTAAATTATGTGAAAGATTTTGAATTTTTATTCTTTATATGGTATTTTCAAGTGCAGTGGAACCTTGAGATATGAGTTTAATTCATTTCAGCCTTAAGTTTGTATAGCAAATTTGTCATAGCTAGAAACAAACTAATAAATAACACTGGTATATAATATAACCGTGAGTAAACCATATACCTTATAAGAAATAGAACAACCCAAATGGTTTTTCTCCCTCTTCTGACACATTCCCAGCTGTTACCTTGACCTTATTCGGAGGAGTAGGGACGACTTGCAGAAACTTACAATGGTTGGATATTGTACTGTGTATAATTGTTAAGAGAAAGTAGGTTGTAGCGCCTCATTTCACAAATTAGAATTTTTAGATATTTTTATTTTTGAAACAGATTGATTTTTAAAAATTTAGCATATTTATCAAGCATAATTAACGTTCCAAATAATCGCTGTTGCATGCTTTCAGGCCTGGCTATTTTTTTAGCTTTTCATGATGTAAGGAAATTTGTAACTACTTCTTTTAGAAAATAATATTTTAAATCTGAACTAATAGAAAATTTCAAACAAAGAATTTTCTCATATAATTTTTATGCTTTTTATTGGTGTAAATAAGTAAAAAATACTAAAATACCTAAAAATGAATTTTTGAAAGATTTTGCTTAAAATTCAAAGTTGTGCTGCATTTTTAAGATTATAGGTGAATATTTGATAGCATATTTTTTATAAAGGAGTTTTATTTCAATTATATTTCAACAATACATCATAGTGATAAACACTTTAACACCTTAATAATTTTTATACATTTATTATAATGTCAAAATTGTAAACTGTAATAATTGATTGTGCTAACATTTTATAGTGATTATTTTTTTAAATTTAATTCCAGTTCTGCATAAGAATTTTTTATTTACTGTGAATTTAATTTATTAGCTTAAAGGGGCGGTAGTCCAGAAAGGCTATTACTTTCGAAACGGCATTTCACGCTGTTTCATTATAAACGTCCGTTTCACTTCGCAAATTGTTGCCACCAAATATTATTGCCTTGTATTATATTTAAAGAAATTTAATAATGAATAATCTGCATGAATACATGTATGTTTCTCGCACTGTGAAAAAACGACAGTATCTAGAGCAATCAAATTTTGAATAATGTAATCCTCCACCCGAATAGCTGAATTTTGAATTTGTTTTAATCCATTTCATATTTTGTAAAACTTAAATGAATTTTTGATTAAGAAACACAACGGGCTCAAAGTGAGCAATGGCAGCAACATTGTACAGAAAATAACATTTTTATCTCCAATGCCGAAATTCTAAAGATATGCTGTTTTCAAATATTTCGTGATACTACTGTTGAATTGAATTTTGTGGGGTTCACGTGCGAAGAACATGATATTCAGTAAATAGAGGTAACACAAAAAGCGTTAAAAAACGCCCCTTTGAGTGTAACATAAAATCCGAGTACTTACAGATTTTATTTATTTTCATTACACTGAGAAAAGTTTATGTTCCGAATTTTATGAATTATTAAAATAAATAATCATGTTATGATGTTAATAATTAATGATCATACGATCAAATAAATAATCGTCTTGTAATGTTATAATAATTTTAAAAACCACTGCCTGAAAATGCTTATAAATTTTTTTTAAAAAATATCAGATATTGTTTAATTTTACTTTATTTGTACTCAAAAGTAAGTTCATAAATTTCATGTTTAGAGTTTTTACTGTTTTGCCAAAGTAAAGATGTTTATAGAAGAATAACGCATGAAAAGAATGCGCAAAATGCAGTAAAAAGTGCTTTAAAGAGATATATTAATTCTTATTTGGAAAAACTGTGACTTTCATAATCTCATCACTTATACATCATATCACATTTAATAATTAAAAAAATGTGATACAAATGCCATAGGTTTCAATGTTAAAGTAAACCAGATCGTCCCTACTCCTTCTTGGGGACATGTGGGTGATGCGTGCCCCGCCCATTGGGTTAGTCTATCTCTTATAAGGTCCATGGGTTTACTTTTATGATAGCTTCCAACACCGACTTTAACTGCTTCTCCTTAATCAACACAAATAAGAGCGTCTCAACAGCTCCTGGGACTTTTGGATGGTGCTTGGAAGTAATGATAACTCCTTTGACTACATCAAGTTTCTTAATTTCTTCCTTCTTCTTCGGAATAGTGCAGATCATTAATGACAAAAGGCTGTAAGTCTTCACCTATTCCGTTGCTCATATACCACCTTTATGTTTATCTATGATTTCTTTCTTAATTTCAACGGTCATGGCTTCTTTAATTTTGTTTGCAGCACTATCTGAGGCAGCAATCTTTTTGGGAGGCATCATGAAATAATTATTTTCACATTAATTGTAATAAACAGTTAACTCACAAGTGCACAAACACGTAGATCAAAGAACACTGAGTGATCTGACAAGAAAATTCCCCAAGTCAAGCCGGAAAGGGAAAATGGTGCCGCGAATACTGACAGCCTGGCTCATTGCTTGTTACTCGAGTCAATACTCATATTTAGAGACAAATTTTTTGCTCATATCTCGAATTTCTCATATGTAGAGGTGCTTGTATCTCAAAGTTCCACTGTATAAGAAATAGATGCAAATGTTGTTAGCTTCATATTAACTTCATATTAATTGAAAACAAATGCATGGTACATACAATGAATGGATTGAAGAAAGATAAAAGCCTAAACTGAACTAGCATGTTTTCATACTTTGATGTTGAAGAAGGAAAGGGAATGTGTACAAACGCTTTCTTATTTTTTGTGTAATTTCAATGTAATTCCATAAATTGAGTTGATACGAGTTACTGTGTAGGTAACTAACTCAGGGTTTGTAGCAGTCCTTGTAGGTGCTTATAAGTCCTTATATTTGAAAATAAAATATAAAGGCCCTTATAGGTGCTTACTTTTTCTTTAAAGCCCTTATTTTTTTGTTTTTTGTGCTTATTTTTTGCTTTTAGGGCTTTTTTTTAATGAACGCGCTATTTTTCCCCATACCAAAGCCGAAAGAAACTAAATAAACAACTTTTCTTCCTAATATGGAATGTCAGATGGTGAGTCATACTCCCGGAAATAGCTTTTCCCCCTTTCTCTGCATTAACATAATCTTTGGTGTGCACGAAGAGTACAGACAGGTGCCCGTTGTTCTATTGGTCAAAGAATTGTGAAAGCAGTAGAAAATTCCGCTACATTCGGCATTCTTTTCCTCCCACCCAAATACTACACACGTTTGAATTTCTATCAAGATCTTAAAAATTTGCA